AAGTGAGGTTTTAATCTGTTTTACTTTGTTAATTTTGGTAGTGTTTTCGTTTTCCTTTGATTTGTTCTTGGTGTTTTTCTGTATATGAAGTCCAGAATAGGCAAAACTGTAGAGATAATAACTGCATTAATGGCTCCCTGAGGGGAGGGCAGAGGACATTGGGGGGGAATGGGGAGCTAATAACAATAAGTACAAGGATGAGGAAAATGTTCTAAAATTGATTGTGGTGATGATTGTACAACACTTCCTGAGGTGAGTGAACAGCTGAGTTGTATGATATGTGAATCAGATGCCAATAAAATGGTTTTTTTTTTAAAGAGTAGATTTAACGTCCCAAGGACCAGGTGCCTTGTGGATTACATCAAAGATTTCACACATGCAGGAAGCACAAGGTCATTAAGAAGATAGGAAAGAAAGAAAAGACCCAAATGGATACCAGAAAGACTGAAACTTACTCTTGACTGAAGAGTAGGTAAAGCAAATGGAAGAAATTATGAAGCATAAAAACTGAGCGGAAAGAAGACGAGATAAAGTATTATAATGAACGGTTCAAAGACATGGACATCGTTAGCATTTCTCAAGCTGGAAGAACTGAAGAAAAAATTTAAGCTCTGAGTTGAAATATTGAAGGATTCTATTGATATCACATTGAACAACACAGAGAACATCAAAAGACGGAAGGAATACACAGTCTCTATGCCAAAAATGGTAGATCTTCAAGCATCTCATGGGCTAGCCTGTAATTAAGAATAGATGGAGTGGAATGAAGAACTCCAGACTATACTGAAGTTGGTAAAAACACAACTCAGGAATTGATTGAATACCAATTGCTCTGTGTCAGCACGCAGACGTGACACTGGAAGCACTCACTCGTCTATGCCAAGCAATCTGGAGACGGCTGCCTGAGCAACTGCCTTGAAGAGACCTATCTCCATGCTCATTTTAAAGAAAAGTGCACCAAGGCAATGTGGAAATTATCAAACAGAAACAAATATTTGCTGAAGATAGTTAAGAAATCACTATAGCTTGGAGCTATTGACAGAGGACAGTCATCAATTGACAGGGGAGTGCCAGGAATGAAAGCAGTATTCATGGGGAATACAGTACTGATGTCAGAAAGACCTGGACTGAGAGAAAGTAGAGATTGCCTGAAGGGTGGTTTTTTGTGTTTTATTGATACCACAAAGGCATTTGACTGCTTGGAACCTAACACAGTATCGATATTGGACGGATGGGGATTTCAAGACATTTCATTGGATTCATAGAGCACTTGTGCCCACATAAAGAAGCAGTCATTTGAAGAGAACAGGGGATATTACATGGCCCAAAATTACACATAGAATCAGCCTCCTGGCATCTCCCTCTGGCCCTAATTGAGGGGAGGGAATACCCTACTTATAAACCATAGAGTATTGCAGATATGATTACAGTAGATTAAAATGAAACATCTGATTTGAATGGATAAAATGTAACATTTGATTTGATGGGGAAATACATGTGGAGGAAGTCTCAGGCATGCTGTTTTACAGAAGACATTGGAAAGTCATGTGACAGATGTAACTATGTTCAAATCCAGTACCTTATTATTTTATCTCTCTTTGGGCACATTTTGAGTTATTTTCTTTCAAACTGGGTTTTATCTCTGTTGGATTTTATTTTTATCGGTAGATTTCTTGACTCTCTCATGTATTTTTTCTCTGTTTTCCAGTCTATGAAACCTAGGATTTGTGAATCCATAGAGATAATAACTGGGTTAGTAACTCCTTGGGGGTATAGCAGGGAAGACTGGGGAGAAATTGGAATGAATAACAATGAGTACAAGAAGGGAAAAAAATGTTCTAAAGTGGGTTATGCTAATTATTATACAACACTTCTTGGTATGACTGAACTGTTGTGTGCTGCCTGGATTGTGTCCTAATAAAATGCTTATATGGATCTGTAAATTAGAAAAGGTGTATGTCAAGATTGTATCCTTTATCATGTTTACTCAGTTGGCACGATGAACAAGTAATCTGCGGAACGGGATGATATGAAGGAGAATGCGGCACCATACCGGAGGAAGACTCACCTGCTGCGTATGTAGATTGTACGGCCTTGCTTGTGGAAATTGAAGAGGACCGGGAGGACTTAGTAATAAAGAGCAAAGAGACAGCTTTCAGTATGGATTACACAGCAACGTAAAGAAAACGAAAATTCTCAAAACCAGGACAATAAGCAATGTCATGATAAATGGCCAAGAAATTGGAGCCATCAAAGATTTTATTTGTCTTCATCAATGCCCGTGGAAGCAACCAGTAAGGAAGTAAGTGATGTATAACAATGGGTAAATCACAGGACTGCAAAAGACCTCATAAAAAGAGCAAGGATGTTACTTTGAGGACTAAAGTGTACGTGGAAATGTAAGTCTTCAACTTTGTTCTCTATTTCACAATCGTTTCAACTGGGTCCTTGGCATTTTATTTTGAATTTTGTGTTCAGTTTGTCTTTTTCTGGGGGAAAAAAGAAAAAGCAGTTAATAGGACTTTTGATAGGATTTATATTGAATCTTTAGATCAGTAACATAGTTTCTTGAAAGTAGTAAACCAAACCCAAACCAAACTCCTTGCCATTCTGATCTGTGGTGACTCAGTACAGAGACTGAGGCTTTCCCCAATCATTAGGGAATCAACCTCTCTTAAGACCACAGAGCAGCTGGTGGATTTGAACTGCCCACCTTGTCAATAGTAGTTTAAGGCTTCCACAACAGCACCACCAACAAAACCAGAACATACTACCCTTGAATGTATTCTGACTCACAGTGATCTGCTAGGACAGAGTAGAATGATCCTGTGAATTTCTGACAGTGTAAATTCTTATGGAAGCAGATAACTTCATTTTCCTTGGGGGAATGGTTGGTGAGTTTGAACCACTGACCTTGCAGTATTAGTTCAACCTGTAAATCCACTATGCCACCAGAGCAGGGCTCAAAAAATGTAGACCTACCTCATCTATGGATAGACATAACATATGGATAAACTTTTGGCAAAAATAAAAATTGATTTAAAATCAAATGTAGTAAATACTATTTATCTAAGGAATGCATGAGTGGGATACTATTAGGAAATCTACTTTAAAATTTACTTTAATTAATTGCTCATTAGAGAAGAAAATGCTCAGTAACTTTTTAAAAAAATAACTTCATAAAATTTAATAAAACACATTTATACATATAAAACTAGTATAGAAGAATGTTCTTTAATAAGGCAAAGGAATCTTAGTTATTATTTTTAATGCTAGAAGTAATTCCATTAAATTTTAAAACAAAAATAAAATGGTCATATTATATTTCTTTAGCATTGCTCCCGAAGGTCTATTACAGTAAAACCCAAAATAGAAATAATAAAAATATGTATGAGCATATACACCCATACATGTATATATGTGTAGCAGTAATGAAAGGCTTAATGATAATCTTTATTTGAAGGCAATATAGAAACATAGGAGAGTCAATAATTTTAACATACACATATATAATATATACATACCACATGTACATATACATACATAAAATTATTAAAAGAGCTCAGCAGCATGACTAGAAATAGAAAAAAATCAAACTCATTAACAAACTTGTTCTGAATGCTACTTTAGAAATACACTGGGGGAAAATCCCCTTATATTATCAGTTAATAAAATCATAAAATACCCAGGATTAACAGGAAAAAAATGGTAGCCACTGGAAGGGAACTGAAAAATGTTAGTGATGAAGAATATTTCAAAGATAAAATTAGGGATTGCATATATATAAAAAGATTGGTTTGCCAAGGATTAGGGATTGTGGATGAGGGCAGATATGGTGTGGCTATAAAGGTATGAGGGAGATTTGTGATGACTGTTATTAGAAAGAAAATATTACATTGAAAATGATTGCACCTTAATTGCAGCATAGCTATTGTTTAGGTATTCCAACATTGTTGGTAGTTATTGCAATGATTGCTGTTATGAGAATGTAAGGGTTTAAAACTGAGTCAAGTAGAGCTTTGCATGTAATATAAGTCAGAATTCTGTAAGTGTGCTTGACAAATTTAAAAACCCTTGACAGAAAAAGCAATAATTAAAATAGAACAGTTTTATTCTAGCTTTTATAAAAAGAACATTTTACTTGCTAGTGAATATATTTGGGAATTATAGACGCTACCAATTTCCCCAGTGACACAGCATAAGAAGTAGGAAGCTATGAAAGACAAGCTTGAGGTACGTTTTCTAGGTTGTGAATCACATGTGCAGAATGACGGATGTCTAGAAGTTTTTTAAGAGTCCCGGTGGAGTCGTGCTTACTCGCGGGGCCGCCAACCGCAAGGTCAGCAGTTCATAATCACCAACCCTTCCATGGGAGAAAGAAAAGGCTTTCTATTCCCATTAAGACATACAGTCCTTAGAGTCTCAGAAACCCACAGAGGCACTTCTACCCGGTCCTATAAGGCTTCTAATGAGTTGGGATAGACTTGATGGAGGTGGGTTTGGAAGTGTGTTGCTTCGTTACCAGTATGTGTGAGTAAACAGTTCTATAAAACTAGACCATTTTCATTTAGAACAATTGTAATAGAATGAGGGGAAAGGAAGGGATAGGATTTAGATCAGAAATAATTTAGATCGTTTCTAAGAGGCAATAGAAGTGGAAAATTGTTTCAGAAACAAATAGTATAAGTGTATCCACTTAAACCTGCATGTGAATAGGTAAGCTTCTCTTAAAGTTGAATAACGACAAAAAAGAAAGCTTGTGTTGTCCCTTTAAGCTCTGTTAGTCATTAATGGGTACCACCAACTGAACTAAAGAAGCCTGTGTTGGTATCTAGCAAGTCAGGCTTAAGAAAAAGATGTCAGCGACTGAAGACCCCGGTCACGTGACGCGGCACACTGCTTGCTCAGGATCAAATTTCAGCATCCCAGCCACGTGGGTTTAACCAAAGGAGAAGCAGAAGCTAAAATCTTAGGAAGTGCTCTCCGTTCACCATGCAGCCTTTAGATTGGGAGCTGTTTGGGGCTTTGTTTTTAAACCAAAGCGTATCCACGGAATGGGGTTTTAGTCTTTTGCTGTGATTTGAATGTTTTCGTGTGGTTTTCACTAGTTCTTCCAGACAGCTCCGGAGAGAATGGGGGCAGGAGCTCTAGCCATCTGTGTAAGTACCGCCCTCTCTCCTCTTCTGTGCCTACCCTGAGTGGTAAGCGGAGGCCTCCCACTTCCTTATTTTGATGAGATGTGGGGGTAAAACTTTCTTTCTCCCTCCTAAGGGGTGAAGGAAGATTGGTTACTTAAAATCCCATCGATTAAAATGGATACTAAACAGTATTTGCGTTGGCATTCAGGATTATTATCCTCCTACCTTTCTTTAAAATAAAAGTGAAGGAAAAGCTGATAACGTTTATTGGTTACTGTGACTCATGTAGAACACATGCAAGACTTCAGACTTGCTTATTCCTAAGGAGTTAAATGTCAGTGTTGAGCTATTGCTACTGAAGACATCACGGAACTCAATTGAGGGCGAGAGTTCATAGATTCATTTAGCTTATTACCTTTGAGAATGTGATGATATTTTTCTTTCTCACACTAGTATCTTTACTGTGTGATTCTGGAATTTCTCTTTCTGCATGGTTGCTGAATGTGTTGTTGAGAAAACTAAGTTGGTAGATGCATGTGAATTCGTAATCAACTGTAGAAAATTCTGGGTCTGAAAATACAGCAGCAGCAATAAATGACACTGGTAGAAAATCAATGGGAAAATGTATGTATTTTCAGGAAGGACATGTATGAACTTCATAAGCAGATCTGTTGGCGCTTATGCCTCACCTTTTGCAGTAATCAAACATCACTGTTTTTGTAATTTGCAGAATGCTATAATTTAACATTGTATTTAATGTTGAGAAAATGCACATATGGATATTTATTTTCAAATTAGTACTGTACTCCAAAGGAGTGTAAAATAGCCTTTTAATTGTCCTTAGAGAGATATCAAGTGAGAAATAGTGTGTTCTTTATTATTAACTTGACTGTTGTTCTTTTATTTATTTATTTTTATTACCTTTAGGCTCTCAAAAACCAAACTCACTGCCATTGAGTCAAATCCGGCTCATAGCAACCCTATATATAGGACAGGATAGAACTGCTCCTATGAGTTTCAGAGACTAAATCTTTACAGGAGTAGAAAGCCTCAACTATTTCTCACAGAGCCACAGGTGGTTTAGAACTACTGACCTTGTATGCCATCAGGGCTGTTTTGTATTTAGGCTAGTACTGATTTTTTTTTTAAGTTTCAGAAAGAGTATGTTATAATGGTATCCTGAGGGATGTAAAATACCTTGGTAATTCCTGACCCAGGAATGGTTGGTCGCCAGATGATTTACTAGCCCCACAGATTGAATTTTCATAGTAAAACTGCATCTTAATTCTCATATCTCTGTTTAGAACTTTTTCACGTCCTGTGTGTCAGTTTACCTGTGAGTTTGTCTGTGTGCATACCTGGCCCCTCTTTCTTTCGTATACACCCAAGGTTTATAGCATCCAGACAGCTAGGAAGTTATGTTTCCGTGAAGAAGCCTTGGAAGCACAGTGATTATGCACCTTACTGGTAACGAACCCAAAAGTTGGTAGTTTGAATCCACCAGCTGTCCCCCGGGAGAAAGATGAGACGTGTGCTTCATAACGTTGATGTCCTTGGCAATTCTACTGGACGGTTCTGCTCTGTCCTCTAGGGCTGCTACAGTTTGGAAGGACTCAACAGCAGTAGTTTTTGTCCTATTTAAATTTTTCTATTACACCAAAGACTTTGCTGTAAAATCTGATTTCATTGTTGTTTCTTGGAGCAGCTGGTGGGTTTGAACCACTGACCTTGTGGCCTGTAGTCCAACATGTAGCCCAAAGCATCGTCAGCTTCCTATTTCCTCAGCTTTACAGGAGAACTTTAGAACTGGAGTTGTGTAAAAGAAGACAACTGATTAGTTCAATTTGTTATGCAGGCTTTGCATCTCTCTGATTGCCAGATAGCACTTCTTAGTGTGGAACTTTTTCACATAAACATAGCGTATGCATAGCAACTGCTGAGATGTCCTGCAACTGAACATAGTCATTCTTCAAACAAGTAATAGAACATCTGCTTTTTTTCCCCCCTTCCCTCTCTGTCTTATTGATTCTCAACGTGGGATACAAATCCAAAGATACCTATTTGCTGGATGTTTACTTATGCACCTTTATTCTCATTTTCTTCCTTCTCCACGTTGGCCATGTTGTGGAATTCTGCTGTTGGGGAGGTGGAGGGAGATCGCTGATGGACTCACATGTCTGCCCCTTCCGCACTGTAACACATCCTGTCTCCTCAGTGTGCCCCACAAATTGCGAAACTCTGTTTTCACAATTTGTTGATTAACATGAACTTGGTGTCCTCTAATTTTAATAGCTTGCATTTGAATAATGTAAGTGCTCTCCGGTAAATATATCCTCAGTCATTCATATTTCCTATGCTGCTTCTAGGAGCAGGCCTTTGGAGGAGTAGATGATTGAGAGTTTAGTTTGCATGCACTAGTGGGTGAAACAAGGAGCCTGGGTGGTGCAGTGCTTATGTATTGGGCTGGTAACCACAAGGTCAGCAGTTGGAAACCTCCAGTCCCTCCAGGGCAGAAAGATAAAGTTTTCTATTCCCATAAAGAGTTATAGCCTTGAAACCCTCAGGGGTGATTTCATCCTGTCCTATATGGGGTCACTATGAGTCAGAACTGACTCAATGGCAGTGAGTTTGGTTTTGTTGGAGTTTTATCTGACCTGCAATCCATGTGTCATGAGCTCTTATCTGTACCAGTGTACATGCTCCAGTCTAGCCTAAAGTGAAAGGCAGGACTGGGCTCATGAAAGTGGGGGGTGAAGAAGGCTCAAGAAATCAGAAGAATATTGTGTTTTATCGGTGCTTTACTGCACCCTGGTTGACTCATCCATTCCTTGTGACCCTTCTGTGTGGGGATGTCCCATTGTCTACATATAGGCTTTGGATCTCTGCTCCGACCCCTTTATTCTCAACAATATGGTCTTTGTCTGTTTGTTTTGGGTCTTCTGATACCTGTTACCCGATCCCGTCGACACCCATGATTGAACAGGCTTGTGTGCTTCTTCCATGTGGGCTTGTTGCTCCCCTGCTAGATGACCACTTATTTAACTTCAAACCTTTAAGGCCCCAGATGCGCTATCTGTTGATAGTCCGGGTTCTTCACCACATTGACTTATGCACCCATTTTGTCTTCAGTGATTGTGCCAGGAGGGTGAGCATCATAGAATGCCAGGTTGTTAGAACAAAGTGTTCTTGCATTAAGGCAGGACTTGAGCAGAGGTCCAAAGTCCATCCATTTCCTCAATATATTGCCATGTAAATATATGTACATAGGCCAGTACCTCTATTTTTTACGAATAATGTATTTACATATATATATAGATATATATACCTATGTTTAGACCTCTATCCATAGCTTTGCTTCCTAGATCTTTCCTATTTCCTTTTACTTTCCTCCTGCCCCACCATCACACTCACCCTTCTTCTGCCTCTTAGTAATTCCTCTCAGCTAGATTGATGTTGCTCCAACACCCCCAGGACTCCCCAGCATCTTCCTAGTTGTTGCTTTTAGTTTTCTAGTTGTTCCACTGTCTATGGCGCTGTTTGCTCATCACTCCCTTCACCCACTTCCTCCCCCACAAATCCCTCCAGAAAGGTCTGTCCTGTTGCTTTCTCATTGAACTTGCTTTCTATGCCTGTCTTATATAAGTGGCAAAACCAACAATAACAGAGATAAAACAAAAAGAAAACAAAAGGTTGACTAAAATGAGAAAAAGATAATAACCACCAGGGGGAAAAATCTGTAGGAACTTGGAAGGCAGCTGATAGTATGAGGTGCTTAGGTGATAAGAGATGAGGTTCCTAAGCTAAGAACAAAAGTAGTAAGGGTACATAATCCCAGGTCTGTCCGCTGACCTGGAATTACATACCTTCAATCAAAACCTCTATACCTAGCCTTCCTTCCACCAAGTCCCTGGTGATCACTAATCGAGTTCTGTCTCTGTGTACTGATTATTCTCAATAAACCTGAGATATCTAATACTTATCCTTTTTGTGGCTAGCCTATTTAAGTTAGCATCATGTTTTCCGGAGCAAGGACTTTTGGACATTGCTATCACTTGCTAGTGAACTACTGAACCACTGTGGATTCTTACTTGATTGCCTCTGGCAGAGAACACATGGGGCCAAACTAGACATATTGTATTGGTACTTCATAAATATTGGCATATTGCACTGGTACTTCATAAATGTTGGACGTTCGTTTGGTTCTTCCATAAGTTTACTATCTGGTGGTGTAGTGGGCTACACATTGGGCTACGAACTCAAGGTCAGCGACTGGAAACCAGCAGTTGCGCGCGAGAGAAAGGCGAGGCTTTCTATGCCCATAAAGATGTACATTCTGAGAAGCCCGCAGGTGCAGTTCTACTCTGCCCAAGGAGTTGCTAAGAATTGCAATCAGCTCTCTGGCACTGAGGGGGTTTTGATGTTACTCTTCCTCCCCAGCTACTGCTCGACAGATTGCCCGTACTGAGTTGTAGCGATCCATTTCACTACTTGTCTTTTCTTTTATCTCAAACCACTAACTTTCTAAACTAATGCAAGAGGCACATATTACACACAAATTGAGATATCAGAGCTACTGTGGTTATCTCTTCTGCAGTTTATAGTCCGATGTTGGAGCCCTGGTGGCATAATGGCTATGTGTTGGGCTCCTAACTGCTAAGTCTGCAGTTTGAAACCACCAGCCGCTCTGTGGGAGAAAGATGAGGCTTTCTACTCCAACAGAGTCAGAAACCCACAGAAGTAGTTCTACCCAGTCCTACAGGGTTATGAATTGGAATCAACTCGATGACAGTAGGTGAGCTTGATGTTAGATATCAAATTCACCTTACACAGACTGCATTTATGTTTCTGAAATGCAGCATGAACTGTCTTGATTAGAAAAAGTAAAACAAAAAATCCTTGTAATTTTTCACTTGGAGTTTTAGAAAGAGTATGAACTCTATTTAAAATCTGGTAAGGCTGAATTTAAATTCTGGCTGTGTCACTTACTGTACTCTGGCCATATATGTTAATGAGCAATGAAA